GCAGAAGTCTGCTAGTCTGCAGGATACAAAGTTGGCAAGGGGAGCAGGTGTGGGCTCAGATCATCATCTAGTTCAAGGAACATATCAGGTGAAGCTGAAACCCATTAAAACGAATAGAGGCGGGCCACAATTCACGTTCAACATTCAAAAAATGAAGGAGAAAATTACAAGGGATGCTCTCACTATAGATCGGATCAGAGCAAAGTTGGACACACTGAGTGGCATCGTGTTGAGAGCTACCTGCTGGCCAAAATTACTCGGCAACCAATCACGACAGGCTTTGCGTGGGCGGATACAATTCGCATATATATGGTCTGATCTTCAAAGAAATGGCCACAAGGAGATGACAGAATAACTTTCAGTGAGAAGACAGCCAATCAGAAGACCGTGTTTCTCTGCTAATAATAACGAATAATGATATACATGAAAGTATGTAAATATCTGTTGATTTCCTCATTAAACGGTCTGTTGCCCTGCCCTTGTCTTCTGTCGCTACAGCATCACTGTGGAAACCTGTGGGGAAGAACATTGGAACTCTCTGAAAGCGATATTTAGGGAAACGTGCACAAATATCCTAGGAAGAAAGAAGAGGCAAGATAAGGAATGGCTGTCAGAGGATGCCTCGAAGTTAATCGAGGAAAAGAGGATGGTGAAAGAGAAGATGACTCAATGCAAGGATGGGCAACAGAAGCAGAAGTTGAGTTCAATGTACACTGCATTGAATGAAGAAGTGAAGAAGAGTACTAGAAAAGACATACGACGATTCTACGACATACTGGCCGGCAACTGAAGCAGAACAGGTATGGCGCAGACAAAAGAGACATCAGGGCACTATATCAGGTAACCAAGTCTCTATCCGGGAAGAGATCAACCCAGATGAAACCAATAAAAGATACTCAAGGGAACCTGATAACCAAGGAGGAGAAACAAATCAAACAACGGACTGATCAATTTAAAGGGCTCTTAAATCGACCAGTGGCAACTCGCCCAGAAATACCACAATTATCAAGCACAGCACTGTCTGCCAGTGGACACTAATCCTCCAACGAAAGCGGGAATCCTAAATGCGATCAAGCTACTGATGCCCAGTCAAAGATGCAGCATGATCAGACGGAATTCCTCCTGAAGTACTGAATAGGGCCTCGGAGATAACAGCATATATTTTCACTCCTTTGCTGCAAAAAGTTTGGAAAGTACGGAAGGTGTCTACTGATTGGAAGAAGGGTCAACTAGCCAAACTGCCAAAGAAGAACGACTGACGCCTGCCTCTCCGAGAAATGGTGTGGTGCTTTTGTCTCCACCAAGTAAAATAGTAAGTCGCATCATCCTGGATAGAGCGAAGGATGCACCGGATACAGAACTTCACCAGCAGGAACAAGCTGGATTCAGGAAAGGTAAATCATGTGCTGATCAAACTGCAACTCTAGCATCGTCATCACAGAACAAAGCATAGAATAGAAGTCAAACCCCTGCCTCAGCTTCATTGACTTCGAAAAGGCCTTCGACAGACAGCATTGACCGAGAGGTAATTTGGAAACTACTTCAACACCATGGCGTACCTCGAGTCTTCGTCAACTTCATCCAACAGGTGACTATATGACAATGACTGTCACGTGTCAGGTGATCGACAACGGAAAACTCAGAGAGGCGTTCGAAGTGCATACAGGAGTAAGACAAGGCTGCCTGCCTATTATCGCCGATGATATTCTTAATTGTGGTGAGCTAGTTTATGCGTCAGACTGTGCGTGGGGAGTGAGAAGACAGAAATACGCTGTACTGATCAGAAGACTCTGGGAGATCTGGATTTCACAGATGATATATGTCTAGTGTCACACAAACCCGAGGACTTGCAAGCGAGAACCAACAAACTGGCTCAGAAGTGTGGCAGAGAAAACAGGACAGCAGGTGAACACAGAGAAGGCGGAGGTGATGAAGATAACCAACTACCACCAACAGCGACAACAACCAGCACTAATCATTATCAACGGGAGAGATTTAATAGAGGTTAACTCCTTCACTTATCCGGTTAGGAAGCATCGTTTCAACTACAAGCGGAACGAATGAAGATGTCAAACCTAGTCAGAATAAGAAAGGCAGGAAACGCCCTCATCCACTTGAAGCCAGTTTGGAAATCTTCTACACTCAGCATAAGGAACAAGATTCACATTTTCAACGCCAATGTCAAGTTGGTTCTTCTACACCAGTCAGAAACTTGGACTGCGTGTCACGGAAAGGATTTCCAACAGGTTGTAGACTTTCATCAACAGCTACCTTCGCTGGCTGCATACAGAAGATCAAATAGTCAGAAAGAATCAGCGACAAAAAACTCTGACTGGCAACAAACCAACCAAGATCCGATCGTTCGACGGATATGTAGGAGAAAGTGGAGATGGATCGGGCATACATTGAGGAGGCCGCCGGATGATATCGCACGCCAAGCCCTCGAGTGGGATCCAAATGGGAAGCGACGAGTGGGCCGTCGGTGCGAGGGTGACATGGAGGAGATCGTGTGAGGAAGAGATGAGAGAGTTTGGTCAATTGTGGACCCAGCTAAAGAGGACGGCGGAAAACAGAACAAAGTGGAGATGTGCCGCTGAAGCCCTATGTGCGACTCGGAAACCAAGGGAATCATAATGTCATAATATAGTGTGAAATTGTAAGTTACTATTTGTTTGTCAAATCGCATCAGTAGAAGTTTTCCAGATGCCGCATTAATCCCTCACAGTTTACCCTTAATTTCCGCCAAAGCAAGTGCTACTGATGTTGGTGGAATGCAATCAAAAAGCAACGGAAGGAACACAGATTAATACATGTGTAAAACTTGGGCACTGTGGTAGTAAGCAATTCCATATTAGTTTGTTTAATAGATATATCACACAGTGAAACAGCTGATATGATTATGAACAATAAATTCTGTTCGAAATGTCATCCAGTAAATAATACTGTTTCACTGTGTGATATATCTAATAAACAAACTAATACGGAAGGAACACACATTCATTAAAAAGTGTTTGTAACAAAAAAGTTCGATTTCAGCTATACAGATAATCCTGATGAATAATCCTTCGTTACCTTCGTGGGGCCGTATTCACTGATGAATGGACGTGAAGAATGAGGTGGCTTAAGCAGGGGATATTCACTTATATTCAGTGAGATCAAATGAAAACCATCTCTATCTGTCTGACACTACGGCTAATTGGTATTTTTGACCCATACATAAATAATAACCAAAAACCTAAAATGATCGAAAAGTTGGAAGTTTTTCTGTGCAACTTAGCTGTGATTTTGCTATCTCCTTTGGAGTCCTAATCATAGATATCATGACATTTTGTACACTATTAACGTCTATGCGATGCATAATTCGTAGACTCTAACTTTTGGACTTAGCCCAATTACTATAGTGTCTCTGTGAGTTTTGTTTCTATAAACAGGAAGTCATGTGATTACTGGTGCACGTCCTAACAATTAGTAAAAATGCAATTTCATTTATACCAGGTAGCATATCACGTAATTATTACAGATATAACTCTTACAGTTTTTCATCGACAAGCAATTCAGTCTTCATTGTTAGTTCTTAACTTTTCTTCCTACTCTACTCCTGAAATATTAATTCAGCTGCTCTGACTGCAAATACACATAGTAATCCGGATAGCGGGACTGAGAAGGTATTTATCTGTCCTCCTATTGGCATTGCTTCAATGAAGTGTTATAAGACTTTGCAAAATACAGTTCCGTGATACTTCATATGTTATTCAGGCAACTAAGTGGTCCGACCCCTTCATGGCAGCTCTGTGTGACTCAAATATAAGGCCAGATTATTGATAAGGCAGCAGCTACCCATGACTTCAAAGGCGAAAAACTTCATACGCACCTGGTTTTGATTCACATTCTTTGGCGCGAGCTGTATACTACGAGAACAAAGAGCGCGTGTTGGTTCTGCAGCATTTATACTTCCGTTCAACGTCACCTGGCTGACTATACTACTAGCCGGTCCGCAGATGGCAAGTAGAGTGAGGGTTGGGCGTGGAGGTAGTGACCGTGCTCCTGGAGATAATCCCAGCAGCTACCGAAAATTCAAAGCACAGAATACGGAAAAATTTATCGCTCATTGAAATCTCGGAGACGAGAGGATGTGGGTCACTAATTAAGCTGGTGTATCTTACTTCGATGAAAGTGAACGTAAGTATGCAGACATAGAATTTATGTGTGATGTTCGAAGCTAGTTTGAAAGGCTGTTCAGATTGCAAAAGAAAGGAGCAGATATGATACAGAAGTCCCAAGAGTCTGTGAGAGCCGATGGAATTGAATTGGACTCTCCAAACTGTTAACTGGAGAACCGATAGTTTGCCGAAGTCAACCCCATGTCAAAAATAAGCTCACTAATAAGCGGTTATCATGATGCCACGAACAGCGTCAGAGGCTCTTGTTCAGTGGAACAAAGGCAGCAAGATTGAACTCAAGAGGTAGGAAAGCTGCAATTATCCCATGCTCAGCTCCTACAAGCAAAGCAGATAAAGAGAAAGAAAACTTTTGTAGATAACTGCGAAAACTAGAGGACTATACATGGGTATAACAGCATCAAAATCCTACTTGGTGATATTAGGCCGGGCGAAGTGGTAGCAGACCTCATCATAGGTTGACAGGTGCTCGACGAAATGAATGGAAATGGGGAATTCTTCACAGACTTCCACACCTCTAATGATTTGGGAATTGGAGGAAGCGTGTATAGGCACGAGGAGATCCACAAGGCTGCAAGGGTCCTACCAAGTTGGGCACCACGGAAACTTATGACAAAGGAAACTTGTGCATTTATCTAAAGGAGGAAGAAGAGGTAAAACAAAAAATTGTCCAATATGGATTCTTGGAAGCTGAAACATGGGAGCACGATGGAGCAGATGAACCAGTGCAGAGATGAACATCGAAAGGGGAGGCTGAGTAAAACCTACAACGCATTCAACAAAAGGGTGATGAAAAGTGATTTAACGAGAATGCTAAAGTGGACGCTAAGTTATTGAGAGTACAGACTGAGGACTATAGGCATGATATTCAAATATCCAATTACACTGAACAATTACTGGACCAGAATTATGAGTTATTTATTGTAATGCCTTGGTAAAACCAGTAGTATGCTGTAAACATCAACCAGAGATTGTAAACATTTTTAGCACATTTTGTTTTGTTTATCTACACATGTTTATCTTACTGTTGCCCTAGTTAAAATTGGTCTGTTCGTAATGTGGATTTATGGAAAATGACAAATACAGGTGTATTTCATTTGGATATGCCAGATGCCCCCAATTATGATGATAGCGAAGAAAACTCTCATGACTTTGTTCCGTTTAATGGGGGAGTTGAGGTGAGTGTCTTTTCTGTAATATTCATTAATTCTGTAGGATGAGTTTCTTGAACGCGGCCCACTGAAGCCAGAAGAGTAAGACAAACCAGATATGATTCTCGAATTTGTAGGTTGAGTGAAGATGTGAAAACTGTAGAAATCTGCGAGGAAACGGTAAATCCGGGTCAACCTAAGGTCAGGCCTCATGACTTTCAACTTCTCAAAGTTTTGGGAAAAGGCGGGTATGGGAAGGTAATACAAATATTTTTCCATGAGCATGTTTGTAGGTTTTCCTGGCAAGAAAAAATGATACTGGCCAAACCTATGCCATGAAGGTGTTGAAGAAAGCCTCAATTGTAACGAACGCAAAAGATACAGCTCACACAAAAAGTGAAAGAAATATCCTCGAAATGATCAAAGCAAGTGTTGAAATTATTTTTTATTTTGTAGCATCCATTCCTAGTCCAGCTACACTATGCCTTCCAATCCCCTGGGAAGCTTTATCTAGTCCTCGAATTTTTAGCTGGAGGTGAACTTTTTATGCAGCTGGAAAAAGAGGGTGTATTCATGGAAGATCAGGCTAGGTATGTTTTACGTTTAATATGAATGGCTACTGTTTATTAGTAATGCACCCTTTTATTCGACTGAGTAGATTAAGCACTTCTATACATCCAAGCTTTTGGGTGCACATTTTACAGTCGAAGGGTTATAAATTTGCAGGACCTTTTTGCTGTATTCTGATTACACTACTGTTAACACAGCTGGCCTTTTTACGTGATTTTATTTTCTTGACTACATTTACATGGTGTATCTAAATCAAGAACTGTATGTGCCTGATCTTGCTCCAAGTTACAAAGGCTTCCAACTCAGCAATATTGTTTATATTCATGATAACCTCCAACAGTACTCTTTTCGCTAACAGCACTCCACATTTTAGTTATTGGATTTTACACTTAGCTTGCACCTCATAAATCGCACTGAAAGTCAGTAGTTGGGGACGTTTACTTCGCAGAATGCATGTCACGAGAAACCCTAGCAATCGTCCTTGGTATTGTGCTATAAGTATTACCAGCAGTGCATCAATTGATAAGTAGTATTAATGGAGGTAGCTGGACTGTTTTCCACTTGAGATACGTCAGTAGGCATAATAGTCACTATGTCAACCTCTTTTTGGACTCTTCATACGAGTGACTGAACCTAAAATAGTGCGACATAAGCTACCATACTGCGGAAATAGTGGTTAAAGTGCATAAAAGGACTGCAATAGGTGAGTAGGGTCAGATGTGCGGGAATGATGAAGTGAAGATTAACGAGGACTTTCAGAATCTGAATGATACCAATGCAAATGTTTTTAAGAAGTGTTTCTACCAGTTCTTAGCATCCCAAGAGTTGCAGTTATGTTGCCTGCACCGTTCTATTTCTTTCAGATCAGTAGTCTGTGACTTCATAAGTTGACCCTGTTCCAAAGTTATGCAGAATCAGTGAATATCGCTCTCCAATGTAGGTGGCCGCTGAACGGGCGCAACAGATATTAGTCTAATACAAGTCACCTGCATTTTTTCTGTATGAGGACGGTCACGTGAAGATGACAACTGGGTTTGTGCTGGAGTAATTAGCTTTAAGTTCAATACAGGATATGTAGATCACTTAGTTTCTAAAATTATTTTCGAAGTCTAACAAATTTCTCACTTTTCAACTTGTTAGTGTTTCCACTTTCATATACATTTCCAAGGTTATTCCATAAAACTTCTGTAGTCTGTTGTCACCTCTGCTGTTGTTGATTTTCGCGTCTGCGTGAAATCCGTGACAATTCATACTGCTGATACAGTGTCTCATGTTTCTCATATAACTTTACGTAACTGGGTTGCGTCCTATTTCGTTTTCACCTACATATGTGGCGTAGAAAGTGTGTTAAGCTTAATAATAACATGAACCGATTTGGTTATGGGAATATTTTAATGTAAATTTAGTGTGTTGGCACTTCGAGATGTACACTAATGTTATATTAGAGGCAAGGTCATATTTTTAAAAACAAGGTAAATAACAACTAGGAAGACCACACTTTGGCACTGTAAGACTGGACTCCACTGATTCCTACCTTGGGGGATAGTAAAATGATTGAATGCGTTAACTACTTCAGTTATCAATCTCAATAGACCAATTGCTTATGTAATCGCATCTCGGCTACCAAAGGCTCACGTAGCATTTGTCACCATGTGTCATCTCTGGCGTGGGCGTGATGTCCAGTTTTTGGCCAGTGGGCGTTTGTAATGCCCAGTAGTTGGCTCTGTCCTTCACTATGGCTGAAACGAGACATGGCCATTGGAAGTGGAAGTTATGAAAAGACTAGCTGTCTTTGGAAACAGATGTTCTGTCTCCCTTGTTAAATATGGTAATGTTGAGGTTAAGCGTAGTGTTAGGTAAGAATGGTAATTCAGTTGATGAGGTTGTAAAGCTGCGTCAATCAAGGTGTCTAGGACAACTGATATACGCATGGGAAGCGATTTCTTTCCTCGTTCAGCAATGTTAGTTGACACTGGATCAAGTTGGAGGAAATTAAGGTTGGTCGGGTCAAAGCTTAGCGTCGGTCATTGAAGTCTTTAGCTGTTTGTTTGAGTTACGTAAGGAGGAGCAGTCTCCGGCTAACGCTTTGAGACATTGGAAACCACTGATTAGAGATTGCTGATGATGTGGCTCAAAATCGTTCTTGGCGACCAAGTTGGATCCACTCTATCATCTCCCATACCCACTAGACCATGAAGTTTTTCCATGTTACTGCTCTTCCTCCCTCAAATTGCTGCTTATTATAGTTCTTTTGAATATCTTTTTGTCGCGTTTATCTACCTTTGGGTGATACATGGAGTGTAGCAAACTTAGTTGCTGCACTTCTGTGTGGAGTTCTATGTTGAAATTCACAATCTGACGTAGCTGAGTGATTGTGACTGTGTTGTCCAAGTTTCATCTAATTCTTCTTGCATTCTGAGAATATAGGCGTATCTTACTATTGCTGTTAAGTCTTTTGCCTAAATTGTATATGATGGTTTCAGATGTCCTAGTGTAGTGATGGGGTTACGTGAAAGGCATCTGAAGTAGAAAGTGTTGTGTATATGCTGTGTCTGTGTAATTCACTTGTTTTAAACTTACATAACCTTTTATATTTTATTCAGTTTTTATTTGGCAGAAATCACACTTGCCATTGGCCATCTTCATTCGATGGGCATTGTTTATCGGGATTTAAAGCCTGAAAATGTTCTTTTAGACCATGAAGGTCACGTGAAACTTACAGACTTTGGTCTTTCTAAAGAGAGGGTTGATCGTGATAATCTGACTCATACATTCTGTGGGACTATTGAATATATGTAAGTTGGCATTCTTTGGAGTTATGTGTTGTAACAGTATAAAATTTTCATTAAAAATCAACGTTCATCAAAGGAATATTGTAAAACAAGCAGTATCATGGGTAGTAATTTTTCTTATCTACCTATTTGATAGTATACATTTTTCTTATTTTGTCTGCTTTTGAAAATGTCTCATAGGACCATCACATGTTGCGCTTTTAGCAGATGTGTTGGCGCTTTGTTAGCTTTAGAACTCACCAGCCAAGTAATAATTGTTACACAGAAAGGTGGCCCAACCATAGCTACACGGAACGTGTGGTTTTCGATGTGCGTTGCTATGAGTAGGTAATAGGCCTCAATTGGTTTAGTCGACCGAATTTCCGAGTTGGAATGGGTTTCAGTCAGTGGATCACGGATTGCAGTTATTCATTTATCACGGTATTATCTTTAGTCCTTACGGTTAGTTATGGTCCATTGTTTAGTGCACGGACTTCTGCATGATTGTGCAGAGCCATGTATTTATATCCATCATTTTTCCTGGAGCTGTTTTTACTCCAATATGAATTAAATCATGGTACCTGTCTTCATATGTCTTTGTTAGTAATACCCTATTAAGGGAAAGTATATTCTTTTCCAGAAAGACAATAGTTGTTTCACTCTGTGGACGTTCGAATGTGTATCCAATGTCTGATTTTATCGGTTTTTCGAAGTTATGCTTTTCTGTCTCCAAACGTAAACTTTGTATTGCTGGTTTTACAGGGCTCCCGAAATACTTCTACGTCAGGGTCATGGAAGAGCAGTAGATTGGTGGAGTCTCGGCACACTTATGTATGACATGCTATCTGGATCTGTAAGTTATTTCTTTAAGTCACGTATTCCCATTATATTGTGGACATAAACTGACTTGTTCCATTTTTCTTTTCCAGCCTCCTTTCACGGGTGATGATAGAAGACAGACTATTGACCTGGTAAGCGGTTCTGTTAGTTTTATTACAAGATCAGTACTTTGACGTAATTGGTGCAAAAATTGTTGCATATCAAAATAAGACAGGCAAAGCTTTAAAAATTTCTGAATTATAAGCAAAAATCCCATTTGGCTCCCATGGTACCTGGTTGGGTTGACATTTTCGTCAGCGCTACTGATTTTCAAATAACCTTCATTTATGATAAATACTAACGGTAATAGGAAATTTCGAACAGCATGAGGTCCATTCAACTTGATAGATCTGCGATGTATTCGTTAGGTTATTTCAGTGTAGTTTTTCTGGTTTTCCTTGACGACTGAGTTTTCATATTCGCCAAAATATTTCGCACTGTAATTCTGTTTATTTAGCAAGTGGTGTATTTTTATTATCTTACGAGATTTCGGTTTGGTTTTAGATACTACGTGGTGATTTTGTCCCTGTACCTTATTTGAGTCGTGAAGCTGTGTCACTTATATCCAAGGTGAGTTGCTAATCATAATTTTACTAGTCGGTTATAATTTATATAGGTCTCATTATCAAGAACAGTATTTTCATGCAGGCGATTTTAATGTCTTTGTATCTATTTTGCTAACGTCATGTTTACTGAATGATGATGTAAACCAACGTATATAACAGAAGACGTTTGATTTCTGTGTTTCATACTAATTCAGACCGCTTGATTATTTGAAAACAAAAAACTATTATTATTTGGCCAAGCTTCATGGTCAGTATAGGATAATTTCCTTCTGCTGTGGAAACCACAGCATACTCTTCGATAACCACTTAGGAAACGTAGAAACAAGATAATTAGCCACTGCTTTATTTGTTTGTTATATATGACATCTTAGGCTTATAAGTTGAAAAGTGACTATCATTTCATTTTTGTGCTGAGTATGTGTGAATAACGAAGCTATTAGGCTTAATGCAAATGCTAGATGTCATGGTCACTTTATCTGGTAAACTCACTACAGAGGTTTCCTGCAACATCTAGTTAGCACTCGTAATAAAACGCAAGATGCGCGCTGTAGTCATTACTTCATTTTTTGCTTAGTTGGTACCTGTTTACAAGTCACACGATTTTTCAGAATAGGATTATATTTCATGAAAATCACTCCTTACAACTGAAACGCGCTTGGACCATGTTGGCGAAACTATTACTTGTTGAAACTTGTCATGAATTCCTCCTGACTATACACTATTGATTGATTGAGATGAGTAACTGTGTACCACTCACGCCAAACATCATTGTTTGCTGGCCAAATACTAGGTGGCTGTTTAGCTCGTTTTGAGCCGAATAATTTCAAACCGCCTGATTTCTTGCTAGCTAATTGGGCGAACTGGTTATACTATGAATTGAATTCACAATTTCCAAATCAGTTTCAAAGGAAACTGGTCAAATAGTCACCCGAACCGTGTAATTAGCGAGTTAATTTGCAAAATTGCGAATTGATTTGGAAGTTGTGAATTCCGTTCCTCTGAAGTACTTAGCTCTTTTCAGACCTGATCCATCCTGTCAGCTAACAGTGCCCGTCGAAGAAGGCGATGGGTAGGCATGTGTAACACATGTCCTGACCATCTCAGTCGATGTAACTTCACAACCTCGTCTATTGATTTCCTCCAAAGCCTCAGGATGGTCGGGGGTGGGTGCCTTGCGCTGCGGGTTGGCCACCCCTCCGCACACCTCTTGAAATGCTCCCATATGACCGGGCGTCTTACATAGCCTCTCCTGAGGAAGTCCTACTCACTGCCTTCACGTGGCGGAGGTGTTTTTCACCAAAGTGAGAGGGCGAAAGCGGATGCCCGGCGCTCTTCACCGGGTTGACTGTCCATTGGATGACAGTCTAGGGGAGATGGCTAAACCCTGACTCCAAACCTCCAACGACTGGCGTATGAAGCTCACTGGAGCTCACCGGCAGACGTATGGACAAAGGGCTTGTTGGATGTCCTGGATGTCTGCCCCCATTCAAAAAGGCGTATGAACCGAACTCCGGTCACCGGCTGCCAATGAATAGTGGACCTCCTACTCCACTCCTACTGCCTTGTAGGTCACACTTGGTTGTGTAAAGGCTAGAGCTGCACTCTCAAACAAAAGGCCGAGCGATTCTGGGGACATCACTCGTACCAAATTCCCATGAAACTTCATGAACTGTCTTACAACGTTGCCTTCGGTGGTTTGCCCATGTTCTGCGCCGCCCAGATGACGATCTGGTCAAATCAGTTCTAAATCCCTCGTCATTACCATCTTGGCGATGTCGCACGGGTGGACAGCTGAAAACATGGCTTGGTACAGTCAAGGCTGATATGGAGTGCCTGGGGTTACAAACCGTCTACGGACTCCGTCTCTGTAACAAGAATTGGATAACCCTGTCGCAAAACCTTGCATCAGATCGCCGCACCTGAGCAGCGATGATTCGAGATGTTCATGAAGCCGGCTTATCCTCCCGTAGGAGATAGCCGAAGTAAAGAAAGACGATTGATTTCCACTCCTTGCCTAGCACCCGATGTCTGACCTCAATGTTGCTCACCCTATTATACCACACAAGAGATAGAACGCAGACACATATCATCAAAGACAACTAGACTCTTCATGTCTTCCACTTTGAATGACCATGTCTCATAGCCATAAAGGAGGACGGAGCGGACTGATGAGCAGTACAACACGCTCTTTGGTCGATAGCTGGATAACACATCTACGCCAGAGACAGCGTATACTGGCATATGCGAAACGAGCCTTCTGTATCCGTGTTGAGATTTCGTCAGCAATCAACCCGTTGAGGCTGATGCAACTTCCAAAATAAGTCAAGTAGTCAACGCAGTCTACCACTTCACTCCCTATTTCTAAGCTAGGAGTCAATGTAGTCCAGTCCTGTAGCATCATCTTCCATTTGGTCGGAGCGAATCGCATGAGCGTGGCTTTAGGCCAATTAAAGTGCTCCTCAAAGTATTCTTTGCAACATCCTAGTCATCTATCCTGAGAGCTAATTATGGTGCCATTTTCTCAGAGATTTTTTCACTTATCATTTGCCTTTTACCACCTGTTTCCCTGATAAGCCTGAATAGTTGTCTGGTGTTACCATCTATTCCACTTTTGTCACCCACCACTGTTCACGTTCGTTATGAAGACTTCTTGTTAGTTTGCGTTTGAGTAACTTTCACTCCTCATCATAATCGGAGCTCGCTGGAATCAGTTTTCTAGCGTCAATCAGTTCGGATGAGGTGGTAGAAATCCAATGACTTACTAACTTAAGGTTTCAGGTTATTAACAGCTTTTACAGCTGTGTCTACAACTAACTGTATGTTGTGCCAGGCTTCGTCAGGAGGAGTCCTGCTGTCGACCTCAGATACACGTTTCGCTGTTTCCTCCTTAAATAGGGACTCAGAGTCTCGATCTAGTTGGGGACGTAACTACTTCGCTGCCAGCAATTTTTTATGTTCGTTTAGACGCACGCATAAACGTGCGCGGACCAGAGCGTGATTGGAGTCTACACTCGTGTTCCAGAAGGAGCGGATGTCTTCTACTGACCCTCGCCAACGATACCCTATAGTTATGTGGTCTATCTGAGTCCAGAGTTGATTTCGTGATGTGGGTTGCCAGGTTACGCAGTGTCTCTCTTTGTGCCAAAAGTTAGTGCTGACTAGGAACAAATGATTATCTGAGCAGAGCTGTAGAAGATGATCACCGTTGTCGGTTAGTCGGCAGGGAACTCCATACGTACCACCTACATGCTTCTCAGTCTGGCACAACTTCTTTACTTGGGCATTAAAGTCGCCTGCTAAAACAACTATATCTGAACGTTTTGCTTGTTGCAGCAAAGTCATCCTTTAATTCATCTGAACTGCAGTCCGCTGGGGCGTAAGCGGAAACTATGAAAAGACAACGACGGGTAACGCCGTGCTTCCTTCTTCTAACGGACCCATTCAGACCGACCGCACACATACGACTGTCTACTGGGATCCAGTCAAGAAGTGCTTTTTCTGTCCTAACACTCAATGCTACACCTGCGAGTCCTCGCGAACTGGCTGAGGGGTCTCCCGACACCCTTGAAGTGAATTTTGCAGATTCACCTTGTTGTCCGGCTGAGGTTAAGTGAATGACCACACTTGGGTCTTGTATGCCTGTCTCTGAAACACAAAATACTTCAATGGCTCGAGATGCCAGAGTTCTTGCTTTAGTGATGCCTGTTGTCTGACTTCGCAGAGGGTCCTGACGTTAAATGCTCCTATATGGCGACGTGACTTTAAGAGGCTGTCGAGGGTGTTTCCATGGTTCTCATCGTTGTTTGTGGTCACAGAGCTAAGTGTAGATGACTTACTAGCTTGCAGAATAGTATTAGCAGTAAGAGGAACACATGATGATTGAGGGTGACGTGGATAAAGGAGAATAATGCTCAGGAAGGCTTCGTGTTCTTTTGGAAGTGTGTGGGTGGTTGTTAATTCGCGGCTGCTCATACCGTAGAAGTTGATTGAATCTTCGGATACCTGAAAGAGAAAGAGGGTTAGTGTTGCGTGACCACAGAGCCCAGGGCACAACTGCTTGAAGCCGGTCACACACGGCCTGTATGAACTGGTTTCTTCGATTGTCTCCGTATTAGTAACTTACCGCCGGTCACGGACCACCGTGAGTCGTGATGTGCAATTGTTAGGGTCGACTTTTTTTAACCCCCTCTCTCCAGAGTGGAGAGACGGCATAGCTTGTTGGCATGCTGGTCATCTGAGGGAAACACCTTACTGCTGTTACATCCCCGCTCCCCAGCAGTACAACTTCGCCCACCTCCAGCATAGTGTAAAAAGAAATTCTTCCACTGTGCTGGTAACTGCCTTTAGTCTGATCGCTATCCTAACAACCTTCCTGGCATGGTAGGACCTGCAGGAAGCATACTTCCAGCCAGGGTAGCTTTTTCGGTCATTGCGAGACGCAAGCCCGACCACCACGTCAAGGTAGCAGCTGTCGGTCGGGCGAAATTCATTTAGAAGTGTCAGATATCCGGTATGAAACTACCCGGCACATTTGTTTCAGTTGAGGTACAATAAAAGTAGTAGGTGCTTCAAGTGCTCCAGTCCCTCAGTTAAACAGTAATTGGTGACCGTATTAAACTCATTCATGGGGCAATAAATTCATAGTTGCAAACGGCATAAATGCGTTCTGTTCTTAAAATATTCCGAACTTCTCTATGCAAAAACATAGGAAGCATTCAGCAATGTTTTTTATAATTTGAATGCAAGCCACGTATTCGTGGCTAGTTATGAAAGAGTGTTAATTAGTCTGTTTGAAATAATTTATATAATTACAAACTGCAAAAAAAGCTTTGCAGTAGGCACATAGATTTGTTCATTGGAGAATGCAATGAATAACAGTAAATATTACCTCAATTGGCTTCAGATATATCGAATATCCGGATAATAAACGTCTCGTAGCTGGACCAAATTTTTCAGATTTCTTTATCGCGAAATTTTGCGGGTTGTTTGCGCTTTCTTATATCACTATGCTGTTTGTATATATTCCTTGAACTACACTCGACGTTACTCCAAAGGCTGTCGTGAAAGTTATCTTAATTATGAAACAACCAGCAATTGTCACTGATGTAGGTTATGAAATAAATATAAGTGTATCTATGCATGCTGTATTTTAAGACATTGGCAATTATATACGGAAGTTATTTCCGTATATTCTTTCCTTATAAAACAAGAAGCTACTCATTTTGACTTTGAAAACTGTTTACGTTGACTTGTTATTGTTTTAATCTCATTAATTCATTGTTGAATTTTGTATACATTTATGTGAGTAATGAGTGGAATTTTCTTCCGAACAGCTGTTAGTTGTGGACGTCAGCAGGCGTCTGGGCTCTGGACCATCTGACTCAGAGGCAATAAAAATGCATCCGTTTTTCCGCAACACTGACTGGGATCGTGTACTGAAAAGACAAGTTGAGCCGCCGTTCCGACCTACTTTAACATCTGATACAGATGTTTCCCTTTTTGACCCCAAGTTCACCCAAGAAAATCCTGTTGAAAGTCCTGATGAAGGTTTACCAATATCTGCAATGGTTTCGGATGTGTTTGAAGGATTTACTTATGTTGACCCACAAATTCACATTGATATGGCCCGTGATCCTTGGGTATCTACCTGGCAAAGCAGTTCGCGTTCGCGTCGACGATCTGGATTGTCCTCTAGCAGGTAGGAAAATTGACTTTATTCGTGCAATTTTTAGCTAATGTGAGGTGATTGAAATGTGTTTTCATTGTTTCCCAACTTTATTACACTTCATTTTGCATATTCAGTTGAATGCTGGACATAATCTGTTGTTCTCTGTTTCTTTTAGTTCGCCGGGCTACGTTGGGCATACTATTATGGCTAATACTAGTACTCTTATGCAAGGAACTGATATGCCACATGTCGGGACCCCTCATCCAGAACAGTTGCAGTCCACTTTACCTACTCATATGCCAAATACTATTCAAACATCAATTCCGACGCAATCACAACAGCCGTTTGTTTTCGCTGAAGATTTTGAAGATATGGACGTTGGTAGTACCAGCATGACATTTGGGAACAACTCAGCTGGTTGTTCAGCTGCTGTTGACACTGTTAATATACCCACAGACAATTCCAGACTTATGCATGGCTTTCCTTTCGTAGGTGGACATCGAACAGAAAACAGCCGTCCAATGGAGACTGGTAACTGTGAAACTTATTCTACACGCCCGGGTGAACATGTCAATGGCGTGGTCACAAAACCACTTGACACTCGTTTAATGCATCCATCTAGTTCAGCTGCTGCTCAGGCTTCGGCGCTTGCTGCAGTTGCTCTTGCTACTTCATCCCGTTTGGCAGGTTCTTCTGTACACACGTTTCCTACAGTTACTTCATATAATTCTCCACTTCGACCTCTCGTAGGTGAACATGTGATGTATGATCCCCAAACAGTTAGACCTATCAACTTGGGCAAACCTCAGTCACATACACCGTTGGCAACAGTTGACAACTCACATACTCAGAGAAAATAATTCCCATTCATCAGAGAAAAATGCCATCTAAAGTTCTTAAAATATCTCAGGCTTATTCATAAATTTCCTTGTGGTATACGAGCCAATTCATCTGTTACGCACTACCAGCGCCTAGTTTTAATTCATGGGTGTCAAAATCTTAATGCAAGCTCTTCTTTCTTCATCCCTTATTTGGTTTATGTAACTGGTATATCATTGTATTAGTTCATTTCATTACATATTCTTATCCCAAACAAGCTCATCTGTGACAGTTTTTCTTCTTGTCTATTAGCTTGCATATACTGTTCACAAGATTCTGCTGTTTGTTATTCAGCTGATGTTCCTCGACTCAAGATAATGCTTCTGATTTCTATCAAGGAGTACGTGCAAACCAACTCAAATAGTTTTGTAAACATAATTTTTCATCGTTTATGGATTTTTCTCCCTAGTATGTTATTCGTGAATCATTCATAACTAAGTTTTAATCACGAAAAAACCCAATTATAAACGAGGGAGTAGTATAATCCCTAGCGTCACATTTCTCTTCGTCGCTATGCTAATCACATATGTGTACTAATGAATTCATTGTTATTTTGGCCTATTGACTGTCCTTATCATTCATCTCTCGGATGTTCAAATTTCTACACGTTCATTTGTAGTACGGTCGGCAAATTAAACAAATTCTTCAGATATAACATACTTTATATAGATACTTAACGATCTAGGTTATTTCATTTAAAATCTTTTCAATACCGTTGCCCAATTTTTGTATCTTTCTAATGTTATGTATTAACACGAATGTTTAGTGTTTTTTAAAATTATCTTGTCTGCCTTACCCTTCAGTTTTAATCTATTTGTCAAGCTAGCGAATGGGCAATTTTTTGTGTTCTCAATCATGTATTTATTCTTTCTTTTGAATTGTTGAGCATTCCTACCTCGAAGTACATATTTCCTCCTGCGTATATTTTCTTGCTGTTCAAACAATCTTTGTTCTTGGAATTATTTCCTCCATTCTTTTCAAAAAGATATTTTTTCGGAGCACCATATGTGCCTCTTTTTGTAACTTTTGTTATCTTGATAGGCTTTGATTACTTGCCGACGTAGTACTTTGTGGTCTTATTATGTATTGTTTGTCAACTAAATTATTCCCTCTCATGGTGTTTCTGTAGAATTTTTTTGTTTTTACTTTATTCTTTACCTTACAGGGCTTCCTGGTACATTATGTAATTTGATTGTTGCTTTATGATATGATTAAGGATTACCTGTTTTTCCTTCTCTTGACTCTCAACCGCTTAATTTTGGTTCCCGATTTATTAATGTTTTTGTGAACTTATGCTTCATTGTTTTGGTCGATTCGTCTTTAGCACTGTATTGTTATCAACTAGTAGTTGGTGTTACACCATTTACGAAAATGGAATGCATACTGCTGTCGTTGATGAAAACTGATTATTTGAAAGCAATACTAATTTTTCTTATTTCAGAAATCCCACTTTATTTACATCCGATTTTTCTGTCTTCCTCTTATGAAGGTTCTTTGTGACTGCCTTCTATCGGTGATTCAGACGAAATACATTCTTACTTGCATAGTTACTTTTCTAATTATTTGGTTGTATTGTAATGTAGTGCTGTTCTCGCCGTTAGTTGCGTGGGAAATTACCCAAAAATGTTTGAAAATTATTTGTACTTAGAAGTATTTGTCCCTGATATAGTAATCTTGTGAACTAGTTTAAGTGGGATTTTGATCACAACATGGAACGCATTTGGGAATAAAACTACTGATTTGAGTTTCTGAATATTTATTTTCCAGCCATAGTAAACTTAGTGTATAAGTAGTGCTTTAGGAAAGCTGAACATGTTTGAGATCAGGGTGGTCACTGTTGCATGTTTCAACGTCTGATTGTGGATGTTTTGAAATCAAGTCCAATTTTGTAAGCTTGTTTCACCTGATGTAAAAATGTTGAGGTGTAAATAGGAATTTCGATAATAACCGAGAATTACGTTATTGGTGGTGAGTTACTTCACTGAAATTTATAATACATACCAGCTATTTGTAGACTGGACTTGTCAGTTTCTCATATGCACCTAAATCTATATAGAGAGATGAGTGTAATGTACGTGGAAAGAACTGATTTATTACAATTCCAAGATAGATAAATTGTTTGCATTATTCTGAATCTGTTTTTTAACTCTTATAGAGGAAGATGAAGCGATCGTTTTGCGAGGATACAAATCCGAATCATATATCATGCGGATCTACCTCAGAGTTAGATTCAACCCCTAGTAGCTGTAAACGTTTGATCTCAGCTGCGTCTGAACCTGTCTCCTTCATTCGCATCACTTCTTTGGAGGAGCTAGACAAGCGGGCATTGCAACTACAGAATAAAAAGCTTTGGGAAGCTTTGATGGAACGTCGTGCTGCCATTGCTGAGCTGAAAGAACGTATCGAACATTTAGAAAACCGTCAAACTAAGGATGACGCTCTGCTTTGCGTGGTCAATCGCTACTGGAACCAGGTGACGTTAATCTCAATGATAATAAAATTACCAATTTAGTATTCTATGTGATAGATTTCAGTAGCCCAAACGGTCTATGTCGTTTATTGCTTTGTCAAATCACATAATTGTTTCTTCATTGTTGTTAGTTACGTAAGCAAACATTTTACAGACTAGTTACTTTCAGGTGTTGTATTACGTACCATTATGTAGATTTTCTGATATTTCAAAGTTGGCATTGAGTTACATATTGATAGTATATAGCTGTAGCATTTAAGTTCAACACGATAGAATATTTATTGTGAGTGGTTAATCATTTTCTCAAGATTTCGTTTCCTTCCAGTTTCACCAAGTTTTCGTATGACTGTCAAAGTAAATCTGCGTAAACTATTTCCGGCGTAGTTAGTATTAACTACTGTTTGTCATCTGTTGTTATTTTCCAGTATCTAGATGCTCCTTAAGGTTTACTTGTAATCGAATTACAGAATAATTCGCTGTAACTTATCGAATTCTGATGAAGAATTGGAAAATTAGTCTATGACGTAACAACTAGGGGGCAGAAAATTTCTTTGTAGGCGTTTATTTATTTATGCTTATATAAACATTTTACTCTGAGGTTTCCAACCATCTGACCACATAGTCTTTGTTGCACCACACTCTCATCTCAAAACCTACTAACAAGTTTTGGTGTAGCTTTCTTTTCCTAAAATTTTAGAGACGGTTGGCTAATACGCCATCGTGCAGCTTATGTGTGAAGTAGCTCCTTATTTTGATTCTCGGTATGGTTGACGCCTATTGGAAGATGCATGCGCGATCGGCTTAATCGAATCCTGCCACTTCAGTTAACTTCAAGTATGCCTAAAAGTGTGAATGAACAACTTTGAATTTTAAATAATTCTTAAGTGCTGGATATCTTGTTTTATGTATTTTTAGTTGCATACTAACGAATTTTTTTTATTTTGTTATGCGTTTAACAAGTTAGTGTTAATTTGATTTTCTTTTGAAATAATAGTTGGACGAAGATAGCTTGATATTGTTGCAACGTTTCGACTCAGATGCTGCTGAAGAAGAAAGTACGTACATTAGTTCAATCAATTTGAATTCGTTCATTGAATATTGTACCTTTTCTAATTTCAGAATTCAGGTTTTGTTCTAAAGATCTCCAGTCATGAATGACACACTAAATTTGGCTTGACATATTCACATATATTGCATATGATGCATCAGTTGCTACATCTAACAATCCAACAACTGACTTTGTTTATTGTGGCAAAATGGACTTACTCTAAGATTTGTTGTTATTACTGTTCGCGTAGTTTATAAGCAGGATTGCAGAAGTTGCTAAAATGTGCAATTGGAAATAATACAATACTGCCTCATTAATGACCTCTCAGGTTTCATTATGTACGGGAAATAAGCTGTATGTGTTAGCATATGATTCCTAAATTTAACCTCTTAGTGACATTTTATCTCATTCTGGCATTGTCTAATTGTTGATAGCGATAAAATGCATGATTTGCATTTCATCACATTCAGAACTCGTCTTTCGGTGTTCCGGAATCTTACTTCGTGATATCCAAATTAAGTCTCGTACTAGGCACCCATTTGAAGCACCCAAGCGTTATTCACTGGGCTACCAGGTTGCTATCAAAGTAGAACTTAGATCATTATCATGGTGTGTGTTTTGGAAGCCTCTCTACTGACTGTTCATGAAAACAAACAATAAGAAATTTATTAGTTTTAATGAATAACTACTGTCACCTACAGGGAAACTTTTGGTTTTGGTGGTTGAGTAACCGAACTGGATATCCAACGTAGGATTTCGCACAAAATTACGGCAGTTCAAGTTGCCAGGCTTCACAAAAGCCACGTAAAGGTTGAGAAAAACGAAATGCAAATTAGCTATAACAAAGGAAAATGTACAGGAGAAAAGATGTTTACGTATAGAATATTGGGAATTTAATAGAAGTGGTTGAGTAGCCTGTTGAATATAACTTTCGTTTGAAATGAAGAATACTGTGCTGAAGTCTCTGCATGTCATTACTTATTCAAGTGGAGGTGCATCTGGCTGATCATTCCCTAATAGGCAACATTTACTTCCTATACAAAATTAAAAAGAGACAACAAACGTTAATAAAGAAGGATTTTATGAATTCATCATATTTCTGTAGAACTTCAGCTGAATACTATATATTGTCGTATATACTGTGAGATGTCACATATCTCTCTGTTTGAAAAGCAGTTCAAAAGACGAAAATGTGATTATCATCTCATCTTCACTTTTTCAATATTGTCTACTGTTCATGTTTACAGTTTCAACGTCCACAGAGTCATTTCTGAAACAGTTGGCTTCATGGGACAAAGAAGAAGTTCCTGACAAACTTCAAGAACGGGTGCATTTCTCCAAACGAATTATTGCCCGTCTCCTCGCCACATATGAAAAGTAAGTCATACTGATCACTTTTAAAATCAATGTCGTGTTTCATTCTTTTCAGTGCTTGCTTTATATTCATTTCATAGCCGGCTTACCATTTTAAAATGCACTTCCGTTAAACTTCGTTTAAAAGTCTTTTCTCTTATTTTGATGTGTAATGTGTTTCAGCATATTTTTAAATTCATCCTCTGCTGTATTTATTACTACTTTTACAGAATGGTTATTCATCAAAATCGAATGCGTCAGCTACTTGGGAGCTCAGCTGAAGGAAAATCTGTAGCATCTGAAACTGATAACATACCGACTCATTCTGGTTCTTCAGTTCCTTTTAACTCATGCAGTACTGTACCACCTTGTGAAGCTGATGCCAGTACTCATTCAACTGCTTCTTCTCAAGGACCTGTTCCAGTCTGCGATAAACTTTGTTTGAAAGATCTACAAGAGGAAATCTCACTTCTAAACAAAGAGAATGGCCGTCTTCAAACTCTTTGTACTAATTTGCATGCAAAACATAGACAGAGTATTCTTCGGGTATGTGGAGGATTTCGGTTTATATGTTTAAAAATATTTTGTATCGTTTTCGATATTCATTTCAGTAAGCGCGCATTCTCTGGTTAGTCACTCAAATAAGTCCACTTTTATGAAAATTTCACCATCAACCTTGTGAAGGTCTTTAGTAAGTTTAAAAGTGAAGTACTGTGGAAAAAAATTGATGGCGACTATTTTGCTATTGTGATTATGACGAGTACATGGCTTGTCACCTTCAAATTTAGAGTATACTAACAACAAATCAGGTTTATTCGATGATATGTACTCAGTAGTTTTCTTTGTGGGCTTTTGAAATTTGCTCTTCTTGGATCTTAGAGAACCTTTTGAATAAAACACCTTACATAAAATTATAGATTCCAAACCAGTTGAAGTATAAGCACAGTTTCGGGAAAACTAGAGGCAATTAGACCCGAGCATCACTGTAATTCCTTAACTGATTGGTTTCAAGGCTGATTTCTGTATCAACCACAGAGCAACGACAACCCACAGAGAGTGCTGCAAGTTTTCAAGTATGCCCTTCATGATTCAGCTAGCAGGATGAAATCTGATGACCGTTTGATTTCCGATTTCTCTTAATTAACAGTATATGGTCTGTTCTGTCAGCTTTGTGAATGTGACCTGGTAAACAGTTGGAACAAATGTTTAAAAGCGTTACATCATACAACTCAGAATCCGATTGCAGGACATAAGATCGATTCGTGTCGTGTTATATCGGGTGTGTTATCAGATTTTGTCATTTGTTTCACTTTTTCTTCTTTCGTCGGATAATATTTTACTGTTTTGTTTTGTTTCTTTACCTCTCCTCATATTGTGTTTTGAACTCTATGTGGTGTGTTAATTTGAACCGTTTCACTGTAATGCCATGACTTACATCTTTAATTGGTTTACTGATGAAGGAGTTGAGTGTAGCTTTTCGACCTTTTGCAGCAAGATAGTGGTCCAAGTTGCAATCGAATACATTATTCTGACGAACAAAGTATTGGTTTTTCGGTGATTTATAGTTTTGTAATAGTGCTTTAATGCTCATCTAAACCTCCTTAAAATTGAAGGCTGAAGTTTTTATTTGTTGATTATTCTCACTGTTATGCTAAGAAGTCCTAAAGCATTAAGTTAAGAGTAGTTGATTGTAGTTTAGCATAACTAAAAATATGCTAATCGTCTTCTCAGCATGTGATAATTTCTTTTTGTATCCACGGGTGCCGTAAATTATTTTATTCTCCTCAGTAGCGGATTATTGTATATAGTAAAAATAAGATTTCAATGGCACTTAGTATTCGCTTGCTTGCTGAAAAATTCGTGTATATTTTTCCGGTTTCATATACCTTTATTTGTTATTATGTTTCAGCTACGTGAATTACAAGATTTAGCTCAAACTAACAGTGACTCTGCAGCAGAATGGCAAGCTAAATATGAGGATTTAGATTATAAACTTGCAGAAGCTATGAAGCAGGTTACTCGTTTGGATCATCGCTTGTATGAAGCTCAGGAACAAAATAAAAAGTTGGAAGTGGAATTAGCAGCTCTTAAATGTTCAGACTCTCCAGGTAATCGTAGGATCTTACTGTACCATTTACTGTCTGAAACACTAAGCACTTTTATGTCATTCTTCTTCCGTAATTTCATGTATTATTCAACATCATCAATGCGAGATTTTCTCTTATTGATTGAATATAGGGAATATAAATGGTTTGTAAAATTTTTATTTACGTAAGCTTAGAACCAATAGATTCATTGGGGTTGTTAGCATGTTTGTGGGAATCAATCGTTTCCTGATATTTTCTAGTGAATATAAGCGTCATGTCATGCTGTAATGTGACTAAATCCTTTTCTCGAATCACTATTGTTAACTATTATTGCGTGATAATCGTGACTGGTGTTGCTTATTCTGAATACAGACGTGTAATGTGCATTGTTATTAACATGTAAAGATCTGTTGCAATAACAATTAGTGTATCTGTTATCACGTGTCTGTATATGCCAATGTTATTCCTTTTCTGCTTATTTTCCATTTTCCTGTGAATTTTCTTCTGTAGTGTAATGAAATTTAGGCAGATAAATGCACTATGCATTAGTGTTCTGCACTCTCACTGGTCCCCATAGATTAAAAATTACAACTGAAATGTACTACAGATATTTAAAATCAGTATACTGTAAAGTATAGAGGCAGAATTAATTGTTTATGATTTTTTTAGTCTTAATTAAGAATACAGATATTTGAGGGCACTGATTTTTTTCCACTGAGACGAGATTATTTGCTAAAGTTGACATTATAATGTACATATTATTATCATCCTGTATGTATAATATTGGCGTTAAATTACTTCGTATTTCTTAATCATTGATTCTGTTTTGGTCAAAACTAAGTAGAGGCAGAAATGCTGTTTATTTTTTTACTACTAATCGTATTCATCTTACTGCATGTTTGACGTGGCTGCTTTTTTATCCATTGAGATTTTCATCTCGTGTTTTTTGCTTTTAGTCTAAAGATGCTCATTTTCATTCCTCAGGTCGTGATGATCCTTCAAATAGCGGTGGATCAGTTACTAAAAACAAGTATAATGATTTAGCTTGTGAACTAGAGGAATATCGTGAGCTATCAAATAACCGTATGAGCGAATTGGAACGTCTTCAGCGCCATTTAGAAGACAAAGTGGCTGAGTGTGCCTCACTCAATATGCAGGTTAGTTTTTTTGTTTTCAATGCTTTTTTGAAATTGTAAGTTCTCTACAGTAAGTGCTTGCTTATAGTTAGGTGAAAGTTCTACATTTACTATTCCAAACAGTGTGCTTTTGTAAGGTCACTATTCTCTTCTTTACTCTAATATTTAGTACATTGGGTCATCACCTTTTGATATTCGATAATAGCGTAATCCAAGCATTTGTTACAAAATAATTCTGTTTATCATTTCTTGGTTACCAGTTTGGTGGTCCAATCATTTCGTAACATGCATAAACCAAAGTAGATTTTCATTCGAAAAAGTGTATATCATTACTATATAAAAGTAGGATCTTGTAAGTGACTGACTTATTTTCCGTTACTGAGTTAGTTGTATTATACCGTGAAGAACGGTAAAAGATTATTTATGCGTACCTTTCGTTTGTTATTTCTGTTGTTGTTTAGCTGCGGGATATTCCTGAAAATATCATCTTAGATTCTCCACAGTACGTTTCCCTTAAAACTCAGTTCAACATTTTGTACAACGAAGCTATTCACCTCAGAAGTCAGTTAGAAGAAGCCAGAAATACTATTCAAAATAATAGACACAGTCATTTGAAACAGATAGAAGAAATGGAGGTTAGTTTTCCAAATTTTCGACTTCTTAGCATATATAAATAGAACATCTCCAAATTTCAATTGCTGAGTTATAACTTGTTTTTACATAGAACTCCATCAACAATTTGAAGTAGTTATAGAAATTAATTGATGGATGGTGACTAGCAGTGGAATCCAGGATGTGCACTTCGTCCTATTTTGGACTCGTCATCTAGATGTGCCTGCATTCCGCAGTGAGTGATGATGTTCCCACCGAGGCTCGAACCCAGTGCCCGTATTTTCAAACGCCAAAGCGTTATCCACTAGACCACTTGGGCCACGAGAGCCACCTCTTATGCAACGGGTCATATTAATTATTTAATTGAATTTTAAATTTTCCCGTCGATTGAATTAAATAGTTATAGAAATTGTTTAAATGTTTGGTAGTAAAAGTAAAAGTGCGCTTGTTTGCATTTGTATGTGGTATGACACGTTATTGTGATAATGAATAAACTTTGTCGGAAATAAATTCATGGGAATCTAACTTCTGTATCACGTCACAATTCCCTAATTGACTTCATCAAAAAGATGGATAAATTCGGTATATGTTTCCAACGCAAATTATCATAAATTTCAGCTTACTGCAGAGCATGATTAAGTGTTTCAGTGGACTATGCAGATGTTGCGTAGATTCAATTTGATATGAAACATTTCAGAGGATTTAAACTGATTTTTTCACTTAAAATTTTTAAATAAGCAGGAATACGAAACTACCGAAGTACAAATTTTAACTAGTCTCACGTACAATAGTTGTGACATATGAAACATTTCGTTTTCTGAAAGGTTAGTGAGGTAGAAGTAATGGTCAGCATCACCCTTTTTTAAAATCTATAAGGTATATTGACTCCATGAAACTATGATCGTGAGGTGTAGTTATACAATATTGTATAACACGTAGCAAAGCTGACTATCAAAGGGAAAACGGGCTAATTATCACTATCTTAGTTGAATGAATTTCGTTTTTTGGTTATATTTATGTTTTATTTTCAACAAAAATTTCAGTTTGAATGTCGTCTAATTTCAGATCATTGCTGGGACTACTCTTGGTTATATCTTGGCTGCAGTCTGTAAAAACATGGATATAAATCCCAGCGGTATTTAAACTTTCCTGAGTGACTATTTTAACACGGAAGTTAATACGCCCTCACTCGAATATTGTAACTTCTGTTGTACTATTTAGCACAACGCCAATAGAGTAGTAGACTGATGTAACGGAAAATGAATGGTCGTCTATGAACTTTTTGAACAATAATAAAGTGGAAGTGGTACAACTAAGAATAATGCTAGATTATTTTTGAGTTGGCGTAGACAAGACTTTCAAGAAATAGACCGTACTTTTCAACACCACTTCTACCGGTGTTTTGGTGTTCAAGTTGAAGCATCTGTAAGAATACTTGTGTTCCAGTGTAAAGTGTTGCTTGGTTGTTCATCGTATTACTTTTATGTATATGCGCTAATGTTGGATGTTGATTAAGTTTTCATCATAATCAAACTGAAGTGTGTGTTCACCTTCTCTATTTTTATTAGACCAATGAAGCTGCCATTCAAAATCAAATGCGGTCTGAAATGCTGCTAATAGAAGGCCAGTATTCCCAACTAAGGCATAAGTATGAAACTATGGAACTTGATTTCAAACAGGCATTAACGCATAATGAACAAGCAGGTCCTATTAGCTGTGAAATGCGCAGTCTTATTTCTACATTGCAAACACAAAATAAACAATTGAAAGCCGAAGTTGCTCGGTATCGTCGTAAATGTGAAGAAGCTGTACAGGAACGTGAGCTGGTTAGTTTTTGTGTTTTTTTTTAACATTTTATCTTAATATTCCTTCTACCCTAATTAAAAACTCAACAGTAAGGTGCGACTTGTCTTCTGAAGATTCTAGTAACGTTATTTTAAAATCCAATTAAGTAATTTTGTAGTTTTTCCTTTTAAATCTAAATTCTTATGAAAGTTTTTAGTATTATCATGTTTTACAACTATTGTATCAACCTTCGGAATACAATAGAAATTTCCGAACATTCAGAGCAAAGTGATTAAGAGAAATATTTGGGTTGTGGTATCGAACATTTTATCGTATCACAGTTCAGAAGGAACCACAACTTCTAACAAAAGTTTTTTTATACTGAAATGTTAAATGCCTCGTTAAACAAGTGACCACTTATAAGTTTTGTTGTTGGCTTATCGTTCACCATTCGATAATTAAAATCCACTAGTCCCTATATATATATATATATATATATATATATATATATATATATACTGTTTTGTACTAAAATTAATGTTTTCATTCGATATGCTTTTAAGATACGCACTGATTTGAAATGCACAGAGGACGAGTTGGCACATGTTCGTACGGCACTTTCGGAGGCTACTGCGGCTGTTATTGCTGCTAGCGAAAAGTCAGAGCGATCGACACCATCAACTCCACAAAGCTCAAATCTGCCTCCAAGCACGGCTACTACGGGACCAGATGTATGTATTTCTTTAAAACCGTGTTCACAAACTAATTTTATTTCTTGTAATCTATCTGATATGCTATGTTTTATGTCAATATTTAAATATATTTTCATCATATGGATCTCTGTGCAGTATATTTGCATTGCGTTACGAAGGAAGTGTTTGTTCCATTGATCGTTTGTGTTTTCTTTGTTCAACTAGGTTTTAAATCCATATTGTAGTTGAGTAACTCAATATGTCAAATAGTTAATATTTATTGATCGTATTGTCTTTTATTCGTATTTATCAACTTTCTACTCAGTTATGATATATATATATATATATATATATATATATATATATATATATATATATAGGGTGCTTGTTGCTGTAAATTTTTAGCGTTTTTTTTCTCATTTGAAAATTTAAGACTTCTGATATTGAGAAGGTATTGTGTAAAGCATCGGTGTCATTTAAATGTCTCAGATTGTATGGTTGTGTTGTAGTAAGCTGTAGTACTCTAAAGCATATGGTTTACGCAGTGTTCATACTTTTCAGGTCACTTCGCCGCCTCCTGACGTGGATGTAAAGTTAAAAGTACCAACTCCAACAAAGGTGGAAGAAGGCAACGATAGTGGTAGTAATTGTCAGAAACTTGATTCTCCCAGCTCATCCACTGTACAGACTGCTACTGTAGCTGCTTCCAGCTCCAACATTAATCCGTCCACGACTGATAAAGTTGTCAAAACGGTGAGTTTGATAAATGATAGTAAAGTGATTTGTTTAAAATTTATGTTTTTATCAACTTTAAAAATCTACAGTACTTCTGTAACTTTCTTTGTGGTGATGTATACGTTAATCAGTTATTGATTGATTCATTCATTCATTCCAGTGCTCGAAGGATGAAATACTTGTAGTAAAATAAATGAATGTTTACTTAGTGATGTTTGACAGTGAGATCCAAGAAGCTCTTTTCGTCGTATTCAGCGTTCAAAAGCTGCATAGTTGCGATATCCCGTTGATCTGTTTGGAGCTTAAAGTAGTAGATGTTGACTTTAAGTTTCACTTGAAACATCATCTCTTGAATATAAGTACATCTAACTAAAGAATCGCAAGTTGGACGAAACCTGCATACGAAAATGCACCACTGACTACCGTCAAATAAGATCAGGGTATCCGGTTGAGGTGCTTACAGGTCAAGGTGAAAACACTTGACTCAATGCAAATATATAACCCAATCGATAGCTGCTACGTTGATGTGGTGGTTGTACTTGCACATCGCAATGACCGAACGAGTTGCACTGGCTGTAACTAATGTTCCTGAAAGTTCCACCATTCCATAGAGGTTGTTGGGATAGTGACTAGACTAAAAACAGTAACCGGCATAGTGTATGCAACTTACACTATGGTGGGGGGGGGGACTCAGTGGACAAAGTCGTACGGCTGGGGCACCGGGGTGTGATAGCACTCTTGTGTTTTCCTCAGATGGCCAGCAACCATATATGCTGTCTTTCCACTCTGGAGAGGCGAGGCCAAAATAGTTTGACGTTACGGCGGTCCGTAGCCGGCTGTAAGTTCCTAATATGGACACTTCTGAAAATACAATTCAAACGGTCCATGTGTGTGTGCAGTCGCGCAACACTAATTGTCTTTCTGTTTCAGGTACGCCAAAAAAAGAAACTTCCGCAGTATGGCCAGCTGAAAAGTAACAACCGGCCACATACCTACTGAAGCACATGAAGCTCTCCTAATCATCACTTACCTTTTTCTACGTGACCCTTTTGCTTTGCTCCTACTGTTAATACTGCTTTACAGTCAGGTCCCCCATCTTTGTTTCCCTGTGTGACCAATAATAGCTATGGAACCTGGAAAAACACTACCGATAGTCTCCTAAAGCCATGCTGTCAACTTCCTATTAGAGCGTTTCTTGTTAGAAACCTTTGCAGTCATCACTAGCCAGAACTCTGAGGTCTCAAGCATTGGATGTATTTTGTGTTTTGCAGACAGCATACAATGCCCAAGTGCGATTATTTACGCAGCAGCAACTGACCAACACGTTAAGTCAGCGAAATCTACCTTACGAGTTTCAGGAGATTCTTCGGCTAGTAAGCGACAGCTCAGGTGTAGAGATAACATTGAGTGTCAGAGCAGAAATATCCCTGCTTGACTGGATTTCAATGGGTGATTGTATGTATGCTGTCGTCTAAGCGGATCCTTAAGAAGAGGGGAGGACTGTGCTACCCGTTGATGTCTTGTTATAATCTTCGCTGACGCCCGAACCGACTGCAGTTCGAGCGAAATAAAGGATGAGTTCTATCAAAAGCTGTCTAGTTTGCTGTTAATAGCAAAACTTTTAGATATAGTCGTTGTAGCAGGCGAATTTAATGCTCAGTTAGGTAAGCTATATTAATCTGAGAAGTATATTGGCGGTACCTACAGATTTCCCTACCGACACTGGTGATCCTCTTCTACAGTTCTGTGCAACTAGTTAGCTGTTCCTAGTCAGCACTAACTTTAGACACACATTATCTAACCTGGACTTCGTCGTCAAATCAACGATGAACTCAAGTCGCTCACAGCGATAAATTCCTTATGGCGAGGGTCGGTAGAAGACTTCCAATTCTTCTGTGACACGTGAGTAGACTCTGATCACGTCCTGGTCCTTGCACGTTTATGCTTACAACTGAACGGACATAGGAAACAGACAGCAATGAAGCCGTTACGCCTCCAACTTGATCAGTACACTAAGTCCTTATTCAAACAAGAAATGTCTAAACACATGTCTTAAATTTACACCAAGACTCATCCTAAGGAAGCCTGGCATAATATCCAGTCGGCCGTAGAAACAGCGCTGAAGACGGTTGATAACTTAAAACCAAAAGTTAGAAAATGCCGGTGGATCTTTGCTGCATTTTCTGAACGGACTAAAGCAAGAAGAATGATTCCAGTGGGGTGGGAGCATGATGAGGAGTGAAAGCTGCTCAAATGCAAACGGAACGATAGTTTTTGCAACGACCGCAAACAGTGGTGGGCAACAAGAACGAAAGAGAGATAAAAAAGCATCGGCGATAGACAAAACCAGACCACTATTTAAGCTTATTAGCGGAATACATCGCAAAAGGCAAATGATAAATGAAACTTTCTCCGAGATAACCAACGTCATAAATAGCTTTTAGGATAGACGACTAGAACACTGGAAGCAACATTTTGAGGATCAGTACAAATGACCTACAGCCACGCTTAACTCGCCTACCGCCCAACACTTACCGGAGTGGGATGCAGACATCGGTCCTCCATCTGTAACTGAGGTTAGAAAAACTGTCTTTAATCTGAGACGAGGCAAAGTAGCAAGACCTGAAGGAATGACTCCAGAGTTGTTCAAGGACGGTGGTGACAAGCTACTGTGTGAGTTAACTAAGGCACTAGGCAATTTATGGGAATTAAAGTTAGTCCCTTAAGACTGGCGAAGTCATTGATTATCCCGCTATACAAGAAGGGAGACTAGTCTCCCTGTAATAATCATATGGCGATTAGTCTGATGAATACATTATCTAAATTTTTAGACTTAATAGTCATGTGCAAACTGAGTGGCTCTCGACACAAACAAACTCGGGAAAACGAGTGAGGTTTTAGACCGGGAAGAGGGTATATTGATCATATTTTAATCCTTCGACAGATTCTGGAAAGTAGCTTTACTTACCCGCGCCCTACACTTGTCCTATTTCTTGACTGTAAGGAGATATTCAACTCTTTCGACCGATAGGAACTGTGACAATGTTTGGCTGTGAAGGGAGTGTCGAGAAAGTATATCGAACGAATAGAGACACTCTACTTCAACTGACGTAGTCGTGTAAAAGCTTACGGTAAGTTTTCATACGAGGTGGCTATCAGTATAGCTCGTCAACGATACCCACTGTCCCCATTTTTACTTAATTTTATTGTAGGTGTATTAATGGAATTGGACTTAACTGACTTCAGCGTCAATCTATGAGGTGTTGTAAAGGTGAATCGATTGAGGTAGCTAGGAAATGTAGCGTTCATTTTCGAGTCATCGCATTACTCGACGAGGAATGCTAGCCGACATAGGATTGATTAGGTTAGAAAATAGTTAAGGGTGGTCAGACCGAATCCTGGTATCTGTCGATGAAGTTTTCGACAGTTAGTTTTATCCACATAAGAAGGTGAAGGCTCCCTGATTTGGGTCATTGGGATGTGAAGAACTAATGGCTGGAAACAGTGGGTGATGTAACTGAAAATTGTCCTCAGTGGCGAAGATGCATTCACTCTTTTTGATTTCCCATATCCATTCAAAACCTAGTGTTTCTCCATGTTACCATTTTCTCTCTGTTTATAATAGTCATTTTGAATCCCTTCTTATTTATTCTGCCTTTGTGTGGCTACTGGAACAAACCGGCCAAATAATATGTGAACAAGAAATAACAATTATAAAAAAGAGGAAGTCAGGCGTTTACTTGTGATCATTTGCTTTTATTAATAGCCTCAAATGTTTTCACCGCAATAGCAATTGATTTTTATGAAGGCTAAGAAGTTATTGTATTTGCTTCAGTTTTTAACTGATTACATTATATATTATGAAAAACACTGTCTTCTAATAGTTTATTTGTGTTGAGCGAAGTAAACTTATCGAAATAATGTTGCATAAATTAATCTTACAAATTTCTCAATCCTTTTGTGCATACTCTTTTTTCATTGCATTTTTCTCATACTGTTTCTTGTTTTTTTTGCTAGGAATTCTCTACTGAGTCTCGATCGAATGTTTCGTGCTCATCACCCTCTAATGAAATTATTCGTGATTTAAAGGAACAGTTAAAGTGAGTTTTTTTTTGTAGATTATTTTCATTTCCATAGTCAAATTAGATGCATATTCATTGTGACTTTTTAAATCTTAGGCGTTCGCAAGAATCACAAAAAGAAATGTCTGTTCTCCTGAACATGTATAAAGTTATTCCTAAAGATCAAAGAGATAAAGCAGCACTTCTTCAGTGTGAAGCAAAACTTCGGGCTGAGCTTTCTGATGCTAAGAGTGAGATTGATAAGCTTAACAGTACAATTCGAGAACTGCAAACACAAGTGAAGATACAGCAACAACGAAAGCAATCGTTAACCTCTCCAGTTGAAACCTCACTGAAAATGTCTCCTGCCGAACGCGGTTCTACCAGCCTTGGAAATATTCCTTCATCTCTTTCTAAACCATCTAAAGTTGGACTTATTTCACCAGATGAAAAAAACACAAATTTGGCAGGAACCCTACAGTGTGGAAAACCTAAGGTTTCCGCTTCTGACTGGCAGATATCTGAACTACAAATGGAGCTATATTTGATAAAACGTAAAAGTCAGAACATTGAAGAACAGTTAAAACTGCATCAGCAAAGACTTGCAGCAGCCAAGCAACAAGAAGATGTATTACTGAAGGAAATGGAGGTAAGCATTAAATTACATTTATTCTGGTTCCTAATTTATAACCCAGGAGAATGGCATTGCTTTAAGTTATCTGCGACTTTTATTAATGCAGCAAAAAAATCCTTCATTACGCTTTAAGGTAGCTTATATATATATATATATATATATATATATATAGCACTTTCCACCTCACCATACACAAACAAGTCATTTTCATGTATCTGCATATTCTTCAGATTCTTCAATAATGAGGTCATTGATCCAGACTCAAATAATGCACTTGCTAATATGAAAAACAGTCATTTGAACTGATAGTGCTTCTGGCTAGCTGTATAGGTTGTTTTACTTCTGTCATTTACTTCTGTTGGTATCTGCCAATGATGCAATCGTAGATCAAAAAGTAATGACCTACTTACTTTACTTTACTTCGGCTATCTCCTACGGGAGGATGAGCCGGCTTCATGAACATCTCGAATCATCGCTGCCCAGGCGCGGCGATCTGATGCAAGGTTTTGCGACAGGGTTATCCAATTCTTGTTCCACAGACGGAGTCCGTAGACGGTTTGTAGCCCCAGGCACTCCATATCAGCCTTGACGTTTGTAAGAGAGTTCATGAAGTTTCATGGGAATTTGGTACGAGTGATGTCCCCAGAATCGCTCGGCCTTTTGTTTGAGAGTGCAGCCTTAGCCTTTACACAACCAAGTGTGACCTACAAGGCAGTAGGAGTGGAGTAGGGAGTCCACTATCCACTGGCAGCCGGTGACTGGAGTTCGGTTCATACGCCTTTTTGAATGGGGCCAGACATCCAGGAAATCCAACAAGCCCTTTGTCCATACGTCTGCCGGTGAGCTCCAGTGAGCTTCATACGCCAGTCGTTGGAGGTTTGGAATCAGGGTTTAGCAATCTCCCCTAGACTGTCATCCAATGGACAGTCAACCCGGTGAAGAGCGCCGGGCATCCGCTTTCGCCCTCTCACTTTGGTGAAAAACACCCCCGCCACGTGAAGGCAGTGAGTAGAACTTCCTCAGGAGAGGCTATGTAAGACGCTCGGTCATATGGGAGCATTTCAAGAGGTGTGCGGAGGGGTGGCCAACCCGCAGCGCAAGGCACCCACCCCCGACCATCCTGAGGCTTTGGAGGCATACCTACTTAGCTTTGTGCAGATATTCTTGTGTTTCCGTTACAGTTGGCGCTGCATACAGATTCAGTTTGGGTAGGCTATTCAGCTCTCTAAAGTCAACAAAGAAACTGCACTCAACACTTCGTGCACCTCTCGCTATCACTCCCTCTAAATGCACAGACACTCATCTTGTTCTAAGGGTGATATTTCTCCGATTCTTCTTCGGGATCTCATATCTTACGTTATCATAAAAGCAGTAGGGTTCTCCCTTGGCTGTGAATAAGCTAGTATATTTAGCAACTAACTTACTAATAATTGGTATTTCCTTCTCAACGTTTGTTGCTTTTTGTACTTTGGCTACTTCCTTGTGTACAGGAATCACGAACTGTCCGTATTTCATGTTTTTTTAACTTTTCTGTTCTTCATATTAGTTACTGAACCTGCTTATCTCGAAACGCTCGCTCCCAGTATTCTTTGCCGTTAATCTGGTTACAACCAGCAAGTCCGTTGTGCTGCCACTTTGCTCTTGGGATGAAGAGTTAGAAAATATAGACCCATAATATTGTATATCCTGACTCACCTTGTAGTGGTCAGCATATAGCAGCAAGATCTTCATACGAACACATAACCCCAAAGATTACTTCAAGTAGGTTGTGTGTGACCGGCCTCAGACAGTTTTCCCCGGACTCTGTGGTCGCGCAACACTAATTCTCTTTCTAGAGATTTTTGAGTTTTGAAACAGATTTCCCAACCATTTTGGAGAAGTTAAAATGAAATTAGTGTGATAGATCTTTTTTGTTAACTATTCAGTATTTAAAAAATCAATATTCCTTTTATTAAGATAACTGTTCAAGCTTTTGAAGATGCACAGGAACAGAATGTTCGTCTTGTCAAAACATTGAGAGAGAAAGACGATGCTCATTTGAAGTTGATGGCAGAACGAATGAAAGCTGCTCAGCTTGCACGTTTATTGAAGGAAGACAAACAACTTTTAGAAGAACAGATACGTCTTATGCAGGCTAAAATTGAGGCGCTCAACAGAGCAGTTCTTAAACAAGAGGAGAAAGTAAGTTGTCTTGTTTTTTCATTTACTTAATGTTTCAAATTAAGAATTTTTAAAATCATTGTGGTTTGAATTAGATTTTTGCGGCGGTTTCAGTCTTTAGCATTTCGTTATGTTCATTTCACCAGAGCTAAACAAGTTTATCTATTTTTGTATTGTGATATTCTGATCACTCCTAGTTCTTCCGCTGAATGAGTGTGGTGGATCTGTCTACCAATGTATTATGTCACATTTTTAAGTTTCATTTTTATACACTTATTAGTCATCATGTGTCATTCATGTTTGATTTAAACAGGGATTCTTTTATGTTGTTCTAATATTCCTGTTTATATTACCATTGATAGGAACGTTTATTGTTAACTAATCTGGCAACCTTAGAAAAAGAAGCATCAGCTAGACAAAAGTCTCAAGAGGCCTATAAACGTAAGGCCTTGGAAAGTCAACAAATTTCCGAAGATTTAAGAGTCACTGTTCAAAAGTATCAGAGTCAACTTAAAGATGCTCAAACTACTGTTCAAGAAAAAGCTTCCGCATATGAACGTGTTTCTTTCGGTCATCAACGCTTACAAGTTAGTTATTGCGTTTTTTTAATTTCATTATCATCACTTATTCAAGTTGACATCACGAATTGCTTTGAACCTGTTTAGAAGTATTAGGTCAACGTTTGCAGCAAATTATTATTGAGCGTACAATTTTATTTGGCTTTTATTTCATAACGTGTTATAAATTTCTTAATATAACTGTTTAATTTTAAATCAACGAATAATTTTGTTTTCGTAATACATGCGGTCTTTAAGAAAAATGATGTGCTGAAATAGTTAGCTTATATTTAATTACAATCGGTGTCTATGTGAAAAGGTATGTTTCAACCGACAGTTGCATACGTCATTTCTTACATTATCATCTGATAAACTATTTAAGTACTTTCTAAATAAAGACATGAATACATGTGCAGGTTTTTGTATGAAAACCATTTAAGTGCACACTATTCTTTTACTTTGAATTAAGAAAATTGATTTTAATATTATTTGAGATGCATTAAAAATTTTGTTGAAAAAGACACGTTCTCACCTTTCACAGTTTCACATTTTCAAGCCGGTATGTATTCTGTGCTCACCATGTGTTAGGTTGCATGATAAGCACCTAATGAGCGTATGTCCATGCTTCACACTTTTTGTTTTAAAAATAGCAACTGTTAATGTTTAAATACTATCTGTTTGAGGAATTGTATTATACTGTTTTGTAGGAAGAACTTGTTACTGTGCGGCGAAAATATGAAAGGTTGCGCAAAATTGAACAATCGCATAACGCCGATGAATTTCTGTTGGCTGAAATACAAGATTATAAAGTATGTCATCTAAGAGATTCTTGTAGTATTCATATTTTTGTTAATCATATTGTTAGATTTCAAAATAATAATTAACTTATTGCTGATACCTCAATTTAATGTTATATCGTAGTAAGTTTCTTAAGTTGTACCTGTTACAAATATCTATTGGAAATAGCGCAGTCTTCGTGCTCAGGATCATCCCTCTAATAGGGTTAATTATTGTGCAGCTCAGTTGTAACGATCGAAGATAAGAGACTTGGTAAAGGAATGTCTGTTTGGAATTCGGTATCTCTATATAGCTAAATTATGTACACCTTATCTTCAATGCACCATTTGCACAGATCTTCCGTGTTGTGCTACTTCTGGCCTTCATATTGTGTTTCTTTGTGTTCCTTTCACGTCTCTCATGTATCTCTGCAATTCTGTATCATCTGCTTTCTCTGACACCAAATCTATCTCCCTGCTATTTGATGCTTTTTTCCCGATGAACGTCTGGTAAATATTACCAGTAGTACACATTCACCTGGTTTATTGATTTTCTGTACCTAATCTATGACGCACTCTCATTGTGTCATCTGGTTATTCAGAACTATGTGGGACAATTGTGGAATACGAAACTTAGCGATCGAGTGGTTAAAGTGATTGGCTTCACGTATGAGTATATAATTAGATTAGACAATCAACGTTACTTCAATACTATCCATACTGACAGTAAAATTGAGCTATGAGATAATTATATTTTTCAGCCTACATTTAGTATTATAGTTTTACAACAGCGCTTCTTCAGAATCAAATGTACAACGTCGTAAGATCGAAATGTATACCTAGAATTAATTTTTTTTTAACTCGTCGGTTTTAGAGATCACATTTCTTTCATTAATCAGACACATTTTCTAACTTCTTTTTATAATTTTTATAATTTTCAGGAACAACTGACTTGCCCAACATGTAAAATCAATAGAAAAGATGCCATACTGACAAAATGCTTCCATGTTTTCTGTTTGAATTGTCTAAAAGTTCGTTATGAAACACGTAATCGAAAATGTCCTAAATGCAATGCTACATTCGGTGCTAATGACTATCATCGCATTTACTTAACTTGATGCATTCAAGTCAAATTGTGTATATCCTGTATGTTCTGAAAACCACTTCATTTGAATATGATGTGTACACTTCAGAAATGTATATAGTTTAAAACATAACAATAATTTTATTTAGTTTTGTACATACTTTTCTTTCTAATAAATAAATAGCTTGATTTGTATAAATTCTCTTACAATCCTTTTGTTTCATTGTACTTTTATGTACTAGTAGACCGTATAACTATTTCAAGCTAATAATAAAAGCGTAATGATAATATCGGCTTTAAAGTTTATTTCGAGAGGAGCCAAATTGATAGGAAGTTTCAGACTCAAACTACTTGCATTTTGGAGGTTGTAAGTAAGGAATATGAAGATACCTCTGAAAATTCGTATTCTTCTTGTAATCCAGAACTCCCTTACCACTAATTTGTGACTGTTTCACAACTAGGGCTGAGATAGATCACCAGTCTAAGTAAATGTACGTACCTGACTTTATTAGTCAGATTAATATAAAACCTAAATAAACTGACTTGGAATAAAAATAGTTATAGCGAATAATTGTTTTCAATAAATTCTTCTTCAGGCTCTCGGTCAGTCGGTCGGTTTTCGACATATGTGCGGCAGTTCAAGTCGCCACACTCCATGTAGCACACAAAGCAAGAGAAGAAAGTAGGAGAAATGCATAGTATAGACAGTAAACAGAGGTGTGAGACAAAGGAATAGTAATAACGGAAAGCAAAACAGTTTCATTGGAAATCATAAGTCACAAGGAGTGGATGCATCTGCGCCACTAAGAACGATTTTGAACCATGTCACTAATTGTTTCTAACCATTGGTTTTTTCCGCCCCGAGGACTCCAACCAGGAAGTCTACACCTTCCTACGTGGCTTAGACTAACTGTTGTGGATTTCATTGACTGGTTCCATGTTCCATGGTTTTATCACCACTAGCTCTTTTCCAATCTAGCCCTATATCAGCTAACATTGCTCATTGTCGAGGAAGGCGATGACTAGGCATACGTAGCACATGTCCTAACCATCTCAGTCGATGTAATTTCACAGTCTCGTCTATTGATTATCCCACCTTACGTAGCACTCGACGCCTAACCTCAATATTGCTCACCTTATTATACCACTTCACGCGGGAGATAGAACGCAGACACCTATGATCGAAGACAGCTAATCTTTTCATGTCTTCTGCTCTCAATGGCCAATCATCTGTTTCATGACCAGAGTCGAGAAGCTGTTTAAATCAGCCTAGGCCAATGGTAATTCTTCCTTATTCCTTACGAATGCTTATTCACTGATCTACTATAGATCACATTGAGTCGCAGTATCAACTAATATTTATCATACAAAGATAACAGTAAGAATAAAAGTAGATTAGAAATCTTGCTACAATAAGCGAAATCATCCATCCTAAAAGTTATTCGATTTATCCAGATGAAGAACTTTTTGGTTGTGTTTTTTTGTCGCATTTTCTCGAAAAAAGGCTTTCCTGTTATTATTATTACCATTGTATGTGTATATTGTTATTAAAGTGGTAAAATGCCATGCGACTTAAAAACGTGTATTGTTTTCTTTGGGTTATGCTGTTTTCAATGTTACGTCAAAATATTTTTCATGTGCAGATAACCCGTAATTAATTGACTAGGAAAATTTATTTATTTACCATTTATTCTGTAAAGCAGAGATCTTTCCATCTTATTCATAATTTTTAAAAATAAGTTAGTCACATGCATATTACTTTGTTTTTTTGTATTATGGCTTATTTACGGCATGCATCAGTCACTCTGTTTGATCTATTCTTAGACTAAATTAGTAATAATACTTTGAAAGAATATTTCAGCGGTGTGCATCCTAATTTTACCAGTAGAATATAGTCAGCACTAAAACTAAGGATAAGATACATGGTATTCCTAGTGAGCGATCTGTGTATTCTTAGTAGTCCGACGAGATGCTAACGGTGAGTCCGAATAGCTCAGTGATGGCATCTCTGTCTGCAGCAAAGGATAACTCGGGTTCGAGTCCCCGGGTAGGCATGAAGTCCTTGATAGTTACACATACCTTGCTCATGAGTGCCAAAAAGGCATGAAACATAGGTTTAGGGGATTTCTGCCGATCCCCTTAACCATCTAACATCCATCTTCTAAACTCTTTCGGGCCAAATCTGTTACATCAGTAAGTAATAACACCTTCTGTCAACACATATCAGGAAAATTAGCGATGATGACAGTATTGATGAAAAACTTAGACAAGTGTAAAGAGCTTTCATGAAGATTAGATATCTAATAAGGTTTCTCGAAGCTGATAGTGAACTATATGAAGTAATTACAGATTGGAAGACAATACCTAAGGAAAAGTTGCACCTAAAAGTAAAATATAGAGGTGGCTTTGCAAACGGAGTACTCGAGAACTTAGTGACAAGGTCACTAAGAAAAAAATTGTCTACAGATAATTTATTCCCAAGTGTTAAGAAAGTTTTACTCCACTTTTCCAATTCCATGTGTACTTATCTGTCGTTCTTTGATTAATATCTTGGTGGAGATTATTCATTTATCTGTTCACTTGCTCTTGTGGAGCTAAGTACATAAGACGTTCATAAAGAATCATATCATGTCGTGTTCTAGAACTCCTCCCAGCTGGTTTGAGCAGAGGAAAGCATAGAGCCATTAATTAATTCATTTATATTACAACACGTAGAAGATAATGACGACGCAGTTTCTAATGCATCCTGTAATATCGTCTACAAGGTTCGACCAAAATTTACCAAAAGCAGCACAAGTGGCCTCTTTCGCATAATGGAAGCACTAGCGATACATAACATAAAGTCAGAGCACTGTGTATGAAAATAATTTGTCCTATCTGTTCCTTTACCACAGGCTGGATTTCAGCATGATTCACAAAACTTCTTTATCCCATGTCATTTCAGTGGGGTACAGCAGGTCGAGTGTGAGGACAAAATACTCGCCTATGAGATTCGCCAGTGGTAGCGCCATATCGTGAATTGTCAGAAGTTGAATTCCTGGACCACTGGGTCAGGGCCCAGTGGCTTGGTGGTCTGTGACATCGCTGTGTGACCGGGAGGTCCTTGGATCGAACCGCATTGGATGCGTGCTGCTGAGGATTCCCTAGCTAGGGCGAAACAGATGTCCAGTACTCGTACGCTTCCCAATAGTTTTCTAACCGATGTCAGCTCATGATGAAATCTTGAGACGTCTTGTTCATTCTATTGACGATATTACACTCATCTTATTTTTCTATCTTATTGCATTCAATGTGGCATTCACATTTCCGAAAGTACTTAATCTTCCTGTCATCTGTTTACTCATGTTTATCGCTCCTTGTGTTGATACTTTTTATATTATACTATTGGTCCTTTGGCTTCCGAGGGGTAAGTGGGGCTTCTATAGCACACTTCCATTGTATTCCGTTCTCTGCTGTCTGTTTCAGCTGGCTCCGTGACTGCTCACGAGTTTTTATTATTTATTTATTCATTCATTCTTCTGATCAATCTGTAATTCTTAAATAATAACCACAAAGATATTGTGACACTGCGATATTTCCACTCAATTTCGTATTTATAACACACGCACCTTTTACTGTTAACGCCACGATACATATTCCACCTGTGTAAAAAAGTTTGTAAAACACACATTTAAAACAGCCAAACGTAACATCTGATGTGATGACCGTAATAGACCACCTACCAGAGGAAATTCAAACCGTAGTTGACTAGTCCGGCTTTACCCATTCAAGTAGGCTGAAAAGAAAATGCGGCAAGTTCATTTTGCTACTATAACTTGTATACTCAATCGTAGTCCTATCATCTCATGTCAGCATATCTCTCAGTTTGTGGTGAGAGCTGGCTGCTAGCCAAAGTTGGTAGACAGTAATTGACGTCAGTGTTTATGTCCCCAATATTGGTGGTGAGAAAATGAGAACAAAGGCTTTGCGTAGGCGGATACAGTTAGCATATGGATGATCTGACACAGCCACAAAGAGATGCAAGTTTAACTTTCTGTGAGAAACAACCAATCAAAAGACTGTATTTTCTACTAACAATAATGTACATTAAAATCTATAAATATGTGTTGATTTTCCTTAATAAACGATCTGTTGCCTGGCCCTTGTCTTCTGTTGTTACAAGTTTAGCTGTAGAAATATAATAAAGGAAACAGAGTTTGATAGAATCGTTAATGAATACACGTATTTGTGCCATTAACCAGTGAAATACTTATATATTACAATGAAATTTTTCATACTCATGCTAAACTGAGACTGATCTACAGTTTTCTTTAACTTGTATGCATCATGTTTATACTTTGTATCAAATGCAAAACAAATGTGTGTGTGTGGGTACTATTTCACTTCTCAAGAAATTACTATTTATGTGGGTTTTTTAATACTAAATACTAAAATATATGAAAAATTATCTGAAGTTTGAAGTTACATGCCATAAATTCTTATGATTAGTTTGAATCCTATGATGACTTACAATTGGCTACATCTAATTCTGAATAATTAAGCGTGTAAAAATGATTAGAAGTACTTTGAAATGATTAACTGTGTTGTTTACGTCACAGTTATTTGGCTGTGTTTTCTATCTCTTTTTGTGGATGATTGACATTAAACCATTGAATACTTTTTTCTGAATGCCTGCCTCTGTTTTAAATTAATTGTCATAATCTTTTTTCGGTTGTTCAACAATTAAATGACTGTGTTGGTTTCATTGAAAAAGTTGATTAATAGGAATTAAAAAATAGTTTAAAACTATTCATCAACCTAGTAGATATTGACTAGCCAGACCCTCTTGAATTTCATGTCATTCTGAATGTTGCTGGAAGCTCCCTGCCATAGAAAAGCAGCTTAAGGAGTGTACCTACTAGAAAATTCAACATTCCTTTTGTTTTTTTATTCATGATATCTTAAGACTGGTCTTCAGTCCCAGCTACTTCATGTAGCTTACAGATAGGACCAGCTGTAAATGCGTGTACACGATGAAAGATCTGGTATTGTGAACCATTTATTTATAGAATTCAGAAGTTTGCCACTTACCAGGCATGTGTGAAAAAATAGTGAATAACTACTGTACCTAGTCGAGAGAGTTGACAACTAATGAGCTCGATGATGAATGAGATCATTCAAAAATGATTGGTAGAAAAGAGAGAACAAAGAACTGAAGGAAAGTGAAAAGATTGCATAGAATTTTTTAATGCACCGAATGAGCAAAAAATAAAATTGACTCTAAGACCAT